CTGTAATTATTCCAAGTTACTAAATTGAGTATTCTAATTAAAATATGGAAAAATTAAACATTAAATTACTTCTTGTTTCCTGCACAAAATCAGTTTTTGAGTGATTTTATGAAATAATCCCTAATGAACATTTAAAATGTTTTTGCAATGCAGATTAATTTGTTTCAAGCCTCCATTTGTCCTTTGGTTTCCAAACTGGAGGGCTCAGGTAAGGCATCTGAGTTCAGGTGAAAGTTGAACCGTAATGTTTAATTTATGCTGATGGAGTCAGACTCAGGCTGCATGTTCAGCATTTTATACTTTACTGCAGAAGTTTGACTCAGAGGCCAAATCATATGTTTTGGCTTTTCGTCCTGCCAGACAAAGGATTGATGTAATAGTCCACTGTTTATAATGTGATAATGGGTTTAGTTCTGCTTGTGTTTAAGATACTGCAACAGATGCTCAAGTCATTCTGCAGATTTTAACACTTTGCTCAGAAAACCTCTCAGCTTCTCAGAACTGAAGAGCACCGCGCCGGCCTCAAATCCCAAGGCGTGGATGGAGGGAAACATTGGCAGAATGGAGCTCCAGGTTTCCATGAGTGTTTCCTCAAACACCACCAGAGAACTAAAGGGTTAAACAAGCCAAGGCTTGGCTGGCTGAGGCCTCGATTGCAAAATAAGCCAAGGGGAAGCTTTGGTGGTGGCCAAAACGAAAATAAATCTGACACCATTTGACTCAATTTGAGAAAGGACATGAACTATCCAGGTCCTGAAGGACCGACGTCCTGCGACTCACAGATGTCTCCCTGGTCCAGCACAGCTGAATCTCCTCCTCAGTGCAGTCAGGTTTCCTGGAGTCCTGCTGATGGCCTCATGACGAGGAAGAGCTGAAGTAGAGAGACATTGACAGGCTGCAGGCCCTCCAGGCCCTCCAGGCCCTCCAGGCCTGGAGCTGCTCACCACTGTAGTGGATCCGTCCACCCAGAAGTTTCCCAGGTCTTCCCCGGTCTGGTCTGGACAGTTTAGACTAAATTTGCAGATCCTACACGGTTCTTCCCATTTATTGGAACCACCAATAAATGGATATGTTTTCAAGCCGAACAGAGCCGGGTGATTGATCGGCAGATGGCAATTATTGACTATAGACTGAGCAAAGGACAGCATCCCCGTCACCAACACCACCATTGTGAAGGATAAAAACGGCGTAGTCAAACCAAATGGTCCAAACCTTTTCAACTGGGGTGGAAGAGGACAGCATCACTGGTGGGGGGCAACCCACACTAAACACACCCAAAGTGGACTTGGCACCCAATGCTGTGTGTACAAAATGAATCTGGAATGTCAGATTTGTCTGTTGAAAACCTCAGACCCATTTTCATTCATCTACATTCAGGCGTCTTTCTCAGAGAAAAGTCGTTTCCAGGGCTGCAGAGCAAAGATTTTACATTAGTGCAAAAACCAGCTGCACCAGCAGCGACTGATGTTTCTTACAGCTGAGCTGCTCCTCATGTCCTGCATGCTGGTCAGTCGGTGAGCAGGAGGCTGGGAATCCTGCGTCTGTTGGACAGAGATGAAGTTGAGTCCTACTAGAAATACTTTCCTGGATCTTCTCTTCCATCTTGTCCACATCCAGTCATGAGGACTGGGAACCATCACAGACCTGGTGGGTCTGGGTTCAAACTGCAGGAGTTTCTGGACCATTAAAACCAGCAGAGTTTGTATTATGACTGATTCAACTTGTGTTTAATGTTTAATGGAGATGATTAAGGATTAAATCTCAACTAATGCAGCTTATTTCTTAAAGACAAATATCAATGTGATCAGTGCTGTGAGGGAATGACGTCCCCTCCAGTCGGCATGTTGGATCTATAGAAGAAAATAAACAGTTCTTTAATACATTCTTGTGCCAAAACACTCAAGAGTTTCTCCAAAGAATATATTTGTTTGAGCTACAAAAGTAAAAAAAAATTGCTAGAAAATTTTTTCTACCAAAAATGTTTTTTATTTTTTTAATAATTTAAAAAAACTCTTCAAACTCAAATTCCTTGTTTTTTCTCTAGAAAACTCTTTTTTTAAATTCCCTATTTTTTCTAGCAATTTTTTTCTGTCCAATGTTTACTTTTCAAGCTCAGAAATGTCTTTTCTTTTTCATAAAAAATTTACATTTTCAGGTGTTCAAACTCAGAAATTTCCTTTTTTTAAATTCTGAGATTAATTTGATCATTTCTGAGTTTTGTCTCAAAATTTCTGTTCTTTCTAGGAATTTTTTTTTTTTTTTAACTTTTTAAACCCAGATTTTTTTTTCTAGAAAATTCCTGAGTTATTTGGCAGGAATGAATTTTTCCTGTTTTTCTATTTATAAAGCGCTTTTGTAACAAAACGTTTGGTCGCAGTAATTTGTGCTAAAAGATGAAAACATGAATCTTGTCTGACTCCGCCCACAGCCCAACACCTGGTCCAATTAAGAATCCAATTACCGCCTTTCACCTGCGCGTCACGTGACCGTTCCAGCGCCAGGTGAGGCCGCGGCTCCGCTGTTGTTTTCGGCCCGGAGGCGTCGGACCGGTCCGGCAGGTTTGTGCGGGACGCAGCAGGGGGAGGGCGGCGTGAATCAGGGCGGGGAGCCGCGGAGCCTCTGGAGCAGGAAGAGGAGCTGCGGCTCGGAACGAACATGGTTCGGTGACACAGCGGAACCAAACACCGAGCAGAACCGCCTTCCGAGCTTCACCAGAACTTCTACACATCGCGGGGTGAGTGTCTGTGTTTCCCTCCATGATGTTTTGTTGAAGCTTAAAGATAAAATTAAAAACCCAGAATGAGGGAAGGTTCGGCGCTTCACCTGTAGGGGCTCGGGTTCGACTCGGTTCTTATTTTAGCTTCAGTTACACATTTAATAACTTTATAAACCGGGTTCGGAACCGCCGATGGAGCCTGGAAGTTCTGATCCAGTTCTGTCCGGGGATGGCTCATCATTCTGAGCCCTAAAGGTCAGAATAAAATATTTCTGTTAAAACGTGGAAACTCCAGTAAAACCAGTTGGTTTAACTGGATTGGTTCCGTTTCTGATCCTGAACCAGAACTCAACGTGTTGAATGAGCCGAACTAAACCCAGAAACCCCACATATTAAAGTTTTATCTGATAAATGGTTTAATTTCACATTAAACTACATTCTTGACACTTTTTAAAATAATTTTGTAAATTGAATTGAGTTCATATCAAATATTTTCCATTAGAGTGAAATGTTCCTTTACTTTCCATCCATCTTGATAACTTTTAAGTGTTTATTGGTGGAAAAATGTGCAGCTTTAGTTGTTTAAGAAATAAATGTATTTTTATATCTTAGCTCAACTTTTTATTTTTAAATCAAATCTGTGGTATCAGAAAGCGAATTGTTTTTTTTTTTTTAATTATGTTTATATTAGCTGTAGATGATTTTCTATTTTTGGCAGCAATATTTGTTAAACAACAATGACTCAGTGAAAATGTGAACCAGCGCAACAAGGCCATCGCTGTTTGTTCTTTTATTTGGTTACATGTCTGGAAAATTAATTGGAAGGAAAAACATATAACTTTTTTAAGCTTATTAAATTTATGTTGAACAAACTTAACATCATGATTTCTGGTCAAAATGCTTTGAAATAACAGATTTAAAGAATCTGAACTTGTGAATATTTCAGAATTAAAGATGTAAAACTCCAGCATTTTTAAAGTTTGCCTTGGTGGAGAGTTTAAGTTTTTATTTAACCAGGTGTTATGAAGAGCAAATAATTCACAAAATCAACATGGCAGAGAGGGAAGAACGAGCAGCAACTTTTACAAACATCAGCAGCTCTGATAATGTCATAAGACAAATATTTAAACTCATTAATCGTCTTCAGTTTGGATACTTTAGTTCTCATCTGATCTGAAAGACCAAAAAAATATTCAACAATCTTTTTTTAAGCTTGTTTTGTAAGCGGGGTTCTGCGGGTCGGCTGTAGGTAGTAAATATCCTACTGGCAGTATGTAACTCTACACATCTTCTGGTTTGAAAACAGGATTTCAGCAGATTGAAGACCAAACAAAACACTAATATGATCTTAACCCAGATATACAGATCTGTCAGTTTTTCCTCCCAAGATTTCTTGTTTTTAAAACTAAATTCTGGACAGTTTTCCTAACATTGTCATGTTATTTTGTCAGAAATGCTTTGAGACGACATTTTCCACCCTTATTAAAACTGTAAATATTGTAAAATTGTGCATATGTTTATTACTTTGCAGGTTTATGAAAGCATGGTTCAAATCATGTAGTTTTTTGATAATTTCTTAATTTAATTTCTATTATCAGAAGGTGACTAATTTTAAATTTTTCTTGTTTATTTAGCAGCTGTAGATGATTTTCTATTTTTGGCAGCGTGGACTGACTTCCATTACAGAAATATTTGTTAAACAGCGATGACTCTGGAAAAAAACTGACCACAAATGACAACATGTCTGGAATTTGTTTTGTATTTTAACATGTGTGGAAAATTAATTGGAAGGAAAACATTTGTAGTGTATATTTCTAACAAAGAAATGCAGTGAATTACATGATTGCATTTGAATATTTACAGGTTTTCATCTAAATAACTTCAGATTTGTTCTGGACATTCAGGCAATAGTCAAATTTTTTAAGTGGGCTTTGGTAGAGAGTTTATAAGTAGTCAATATCTTACCAATAATTGCATCCATTAGATCTCATCTGAGCTAATGGTTAACCTGAATGAGGAGACAAAAACAAAACGCTTGGCATAGTCAGTTTTTTGTTTTTGCTCGTTTTGAAATCGGGGTTCTGTGTGAAGGTTGTGGGTAGTAAATATCCTACTGGCAGCTGGTAACTAGACATTTTCAGGTTTGAAAACAGGAATTAATTCTCGCTGAAGACAACAGACAGTCTAAGAAATCCAAGACCAAACAAACTAATATTTAAATGAGCTGTAGAGCTGTGAAAAAGTGTTTTCTCCTTTCAGATTTCTTCTACTTTTAGTTATTGTCAAACTTAAATGTTTCATAACATCAAACAAATGTTTTTAGGTGAAGATGACCAAAAAAATCTGAAGCAGCCTGACTGTGGAAAAGTAATCGCACCTTAAAAATAACTTGTTCTTCCTTTGGCACCATGTGACATCACTGAGGAGGAAACCTTTAAGTTCAAAGGTCAAACACCTTTTAGATCAAGATTTGTTATCGCCATGTTGAAGAACCGGGTCAGAACCGGTTTGTATGGAATCGGTTCTGCCCAAAGCAACACGCTGACCCATTTAAACGATATTTAAATAAACTGTTGTGATGCTGTTTTAACTCTCCAGCCTGTATTTAACAGACAGGAACCCTGTTTAAAACGAGGAGCTGCTTTCTGATTGGCTGCTGGTTTCCATCCACTTCCTGATGAAAGACTTTCTTTCCTCTGGTACGGCAGCAAATTGGTGCCGAGTTTTACTTGTTTTTAGGGGGTGAAGACTTTTCTTTACTGGAAAAACAAAGAGCTGGTGGTAAATAAGTTCTGGTACCAGTTTAGCATTGAAGCTGCGGTTTAGAGTGAAAGTGAAGTAAAACCAAACTTTAAAAAGAAAGTAGTTAATCACTGTTGAGTAATTGTTCATAACGGGGTGTGATTAGTTATTCACTCAGGCTCAGACTGGTTCTGATGGGTTTTGGCCTTGAACAGCCTGTTATTCTGCATAAAATGCAAAACTTTGGACTACAAATTTCTGCTTATTAAATGACTGAACTACATTATTTTTGCCTCCTTTTTATCAATTTTTACAAGACTTTGAATTTAAAGACGATATACAAAAATATCTAATCAGAAATCTCACTACCTGCGTGTTGAAGACCTCTGCCTTTAATAAAAATCAGTTTTCTATTTCTGTGGACACCAAACCACAACATTGTAAGATATTGACTACGTATAACATCACAGCAGAACCCCATTTCAACAAATCTGAGCTGTATTTTTTTTAAAAACAAATGTTAAAGTTTTTTGCCAGTTTGTTCCTAGTTATCTTCTTCGTCTCCATGGAAACTAAAGTAGTCGGTTGGTTTTCTAGTCAGTTTTTCACCTTGAGGCCGACCGGTCTTCTGAAAAACTGCTCGGCTGTTTTTAGATGTTTTATTGACTTCTGACCTCGCGCCTCCATTCGACAGCGATGTTGCTCCATAAACAAGCCTCCTCTCCAGGAGATTTTGTTTAGGGAAATGTTTGCCGTCTTTATGGAAAACTCCAAGATGGAGAATTTAAATCAGGAGCTGAGAGGCAAATGGAGCGACTGGTTGTCTGAGGTCAAGACGTCGCGGATGAACTGGTGAATTTTCTAGGTTTTCTGTGGAAAAAACCTCAGAATCTGAAGCTCCGCCCCGTTTCCAGTTTTAGTTTGAAGAAACTAATTTCTGCAGAGTCATTTTCATCCTGCTCTGTTTCACCTTAGATGTTTTCACTTAAACAAAGCAGGAACTCTGCGTGAAAGCTGCACAAACAGAAACCAGAAGATCTGCTGGTCAACACGGTAAAAATGTTAAAAATATATTTACTGGAGGCAAAACGTTGGAACACATCCAAAATTAGGATATAATTAAATTTTCTTGTTTCCTAAGGATTAATTCTTTATTGACAAACACGTTGATTGCATAAGGAAGTCAAATTAAACTAGTTATTTTATTTACTGTTTGTATTTGAGCTCTTTACATGTGGCACCGGCAGCTCATGTAAATAAACATTCAAATCCAGTTTCCCTGTGCAGCAGCGGCTGGAGCTGCTGGTTCTGGTTCTGTTCTGGTTCTGATAGAGCCGACGCTCGCCGCCTTGCCTCGTTCTCTGGACTCCAGCTGTGAGTAAAACTCAGATTTAGACTCTGAATCTGAAGCTCGTTTTGGTCGTAACGTCGCGTTGCAGTTTCTCTTTGCTGAAACCGAAACACTGACGGGTTTCCTCAGCGTTTTAAAACTTGGAAAAAAACCAGAGTTTCAATAAATGCCTCCAATTAAATCATAATGATCCGTTGGTTTTGCTTATAAATTTGTAAACTTGCAGCTCGGAGTTTAAAAAGAGAAACCGATCTGTTGCTGCACACTGCTGGTCAGCTGGGTGAAAGAAGGCTGCTGTAATTCCTCTTCTTTAAATTTAATGAATTTTTGTTTTTTAACAAAAGTTCAGGACAAATGTTAAATGTATTTCAGTTGTAGGGATTCAGGAGTGGAATAATCCTTTTGAGGAGTTAAAATTGTATTTTTCACTCTGAAGATGTATAAAAAATAATTTACTAAACGAATATTAAGGTTTGATTTCCTTGGAGTTTCTCTGCAGGATTGGCTGGAACTTCAGTTTGTTTTAGGAAAATACACAGAAAAGATTTTTCACTTTTTCTTCCCATTGACTGGAATTTAAATATCGTCTTTCTGTGCTGTTTTTTTTTATGTTTATCTTTGCGTTGCGTTTGGAGAAGTAAAAAAAGACAGTAAAATGAATTTGAAGTTAAATTTCTGCTGTTCCATGATGGATTACTGAGGAACTTTAGTTTGGAAGCCGTTTTATGGACAGAAGCTTGAAAGAGTTTGTTTTGGTTTTTAATCTCCATTTTAAAAGAATAACGGAGTAAATTCATTAATTTCCTCGCCGTTGGCCGAACTGTGACCTCGTTAACCTCACCGCCTCCCAGCTGGAAGACCGGAGCGGCATGCGGAAAGACCGGAGCGGCATGCGGGAAGACCGGAGCGGCCGGTCTTTACAGGA